TTCCTTCCTTCCTTCCTTCCTTCCTTCCTTCCTTCCTTCCTTCCTTCCTTCCTTCTTAGATGTTCTTTGTACATGATGGTTGAGGTGGCTCAGTTTACTTAAGTACTCACTTTAGTTGATAGTAATGATTTTTTTCCTTTCTTTCTTTTTTTCTTGCCATTATTAAAGCTACTGTTTCTCTATCACCCTTGTCAGTGTTTTCTTGGGTGATGAGCTCCTTTGTTTAAGAGATAATCCCTTAAGCCTATTTATTCACACAGAACATGCTGAAGTTTCTCTCTGAAATAGAATCTCTGTTACCAACACTTTCACTCATTCTTTTTTTTTAATTTAAATTGTGTTCTACTCACATTTTAAATCTCTTTCATTACAGTTACATGTTATTACAATCAACTCAAATTCAAAACAGCATACAGTATGATAATATATTACAAATGAAACATACAATAAAACACAATTTAAAGAGAGACACGGAAAGTATGTTTCTACTCTTACCTTTAAACAATGGTAGGTGCTTGTGAAATGTTAGCATGCTAGAATTCCTTATAATACTTTCCTTAATGCCCAAAGGGATTTGAATCCCACCATGACTTTTAATTCCTAGAACAATTAATTATTTTTTTAAAAAAAAATCATCAAAGAATTATTTTCTTTAAGAAAACATAGAAACTTTTTTCCAGGTATGTTTTACTAGAAAATTATGAAAGCACATATATCTTATTTTCCCAAGCAAGGTAATGAGCAAACTTCAGTACCTTATATAATTAATTCTTGATCTGATTTTTTCCACTTTATTTCGTGCCATTTGTTGCAGGGGTGACCGTGGGGAACAGGACAAAAAAGTCAAGATGGTGTCCGTGAGTCCCCATTTGAAGCCCCACCCCTTTTAATGTGCCTTTCCTTAGTCTCCCTAAATTATGTACAAGAAGCAATGTTTTTATGGAATCAAAATGAGGACTCAATTGCAAAATAATCAAGGCTTTACTGCAGTGTTTATCAGACAATGCACACTGGAGGGGACTATACCAAAGGTTGGTGGGAGACACTCCCCTCCAGGCAAAATGGATACCCTGATATTTATATATTTCTACAAGAAGGGGAAGGGAAAAGAATACATACACACACATATTCATGTGATGATGCAGGCATACATCAGTAAGCAACAGATCTCAAGTTACTTTCTGCTCCCCTTCCTATCTTATCTTCTGTCAAGACAGACGCCTTGTGTATTTGCCCCTCTTCTTTTCTTCTATCTTCAAGGAAAGCAATAGCCTTACTAAGAGGAAGAAACAAGTTAGTTCAAGGTGCCAGATGCCAGGAAGTACTGCAAGACAGATGCCTTATATATTGGGATGTTTGTGATAAGGCTTTGAGATGAGGCTTTTTACAACCAGACCAGTTCACACCAGTTTGATAAATTCTTTACAACCAGCCTGCAGATTCCTTTATATTTCAAGTGTGTTATGGTGATCCCATTCATCAGAGGCCCCTAAAAACTTATTTCTTTCATCCGAAGATGTATTTTCCTCACATTTTAAAGAAAACACATCAAGTATACAGTTCATAAACAAGAAACAGGTTTGCAAACTAATAGACCTCTTCCTCCAGCCAACAGTGACTGGAACCAGCCCCCAAAGAAGGAACAGAACCATCATAAAATGGTGCCCCAATTCCCAACCCCCTCAGCCAGTCCAGAAGGATATCGGGGTTGATGGCATCAAAAGCTACTGAAAGATCAAGGAGTATAAGAATTGATACATCACATCCATCCCAGCTCCAACAGAGGTTATCAGAAAGTGCAATCAAGGCTGTCTCCATACAAAATCCCAGCTTAAAACCCAACTGAAACAAGTCTATATAAACCACATCCTCCAGCGTCCTTTGCAACTGCAGGCTGATCACCTTCTGAAAAACATTCATGCAAAAGGGAAGGTTGGAGACAGGATAATAATTATCTAAAATTGTTGCAGCCACTGCTGGCTGAAGGCTGCTACCATAATATGGACCCAAATTCAGGTCACCTCCCTGGCTTCCTGTGAGGGACCTAGTCCAACAAACAGGTAGCCAAACTAACAGCATAAAGAACATGTCCATTTCCTCAAGTCACTGACTCAAAGTCATCCCAGATTATACCACAAGACCAAACCCCAGGAACCTCAGATGAACCTGCCCTGTCAAAGTCCAACTCAGTGTGGCTCTGAGTGGTTTAACCCACCAGATAGCTAGAATATTCCTCACATTGGCCCCACAAATAGCCCTGTGGCCCATCTCTGCCCAGTAGGAACTGGATCACCCTAATAGGGCTGCTGGGTGACTTTTGATGGCTGCAATAGGGGTGGATATATTGACATTGACATGGGAGGGGCACAATATTGACATTTCACTACCTTTATCACCACATGGACTATTACCCCTCTTTGGTCAGACTCACTCTGCATCTTCCTCCAACAGTACTTCATCTCCTGGAGATCCTCAGTAAACCTAGATTACTGAGATTAGAACACATAGGAGTGATGTGGGCTAAAGGCCCAGACACCGGCCTATTCTAAGCAACAACTAAGGACACTACCAAACCCCTGACAAGATCTTCAGAAAGAAAACTCAAGCTCTCTTTGGAACCCTGTTGGGTCCATCACCTGGGAGGCTGAATATATGGCTATATCTCCCTCTGGAAGAGGGTGACACCAGTGAGCTGGAAAGCAATCAGACAATTATCTGCCCATGGCAACAGGCTAATGTCAATGTTCTCCTCTACCAGATCATGTTGGAACTTCCCCAAGACAAAAACAATAACTATTGTGAGCTCCCCCACTCACACGCACATATCTGTATGTGTTGGGCAATTGCTGACTTGGGACAAATCCATAGTTGCCATAAATGGCACAAATTCCTGACCTGCTCTGGACTCAATACCACAAGGTAGCAAATTGAAATTCCTGATCACCAATAAACTTGAGGTCTCTGTCACCAGCAGCATTGGAATCCAGCAGCTTAGGGAGGGATGACAGTGGGCATCAGAGAGTGTGGTAGACCAGCAGCAATCCCAACTGTTCCTTAGAGCTCACCTTCAACCAGAGCACCTCATATCCAGTTATCTGCAGAGCACAGACTCTGAGAGCCTTCAAAGATAACAACAGCACCAGACAGTGGAACCACTTTTAAACAATAGATCCAGTGTCCCCAAGTGTGGCCCAACCCTTACCTCCCCCATGCCTCCCTCTGCCTGTCACCATCAAGATGGTCCTGCCTGCTCCCTCAGCTCCCCCTGGGCTACTCTTACCCCTTGCTTCCCCCTTCCAGGTCAAATAACACATAAATAGTCTCCCCTACCACACACCAACTAAACAGACTCCCAGGAGTCCACCCTGGTAGCCCACTCTACAGGGAATTTGACTACCTCTGGCTGTACCTGCCCAAGCCCTCGGCAGCTTCAAGGAGGCCAAGCCCATGCAGGGAAGAGTACCCAGGTCCCACCCACCTCCTCCACCCCTAGGAAATGGGGAAAATCTCTCCCTAAGTTGGAAGCAGCCCAGGAGACAGCACCCATGCACCAACCAATGCATTTCAGGAGGCCCAGTCAGCCACACCCCCATAGGCCAAATGTTTTGGGGGGATGATTGATCAAAAGCTGCTAACTGCAATCTTAATACACATCACCATGGCCTCGAGCCCCTGCACTGTGGTGTCTTATGCCTTCTGAGGATGCCACCATGACTCCTGTGACCTCTGCAGTCTCTGTCACCCTCATGGCCTCCACAACTTTGAGCTCCACACTTCTATGTGTCTTCTGGCCTCCAAGCCAGAATTTTATTGCTTGTCACTGTTTATTTTGCTTTTATTGCACCACTGTCTATAATAAGTATTTGAATTTTTCAGACATATAACCTGCTTTTAATAGACTAGTATTATGATACTACTGCTCATTTAGACATTTCATGTGGCAAAGATGTGCATTTGTACAGACACCTCTGCAGTGGGAAGACCAGAAATCAAGGGTAATGGCTGAACCAACAGACTGGAGTTATTCCATTTGTATATATGAAAATTGTGCATGCATTCAAATCAGAAAGGGTTTGTTCATGGTCCCACCATATTGCCCTTTTGTCCCCACCCTCACCCCCAATACCACTGCATTCTAAGTGTTAATGGCTTCCTTTTACCAGATGTTTAACCAGAACATTGACAGTTTCTTTTGTATTCAGTGTTATTCTATTTCTTCCTTGACTGCTTCTTCTAAATAGACTGAAAAGATGAGACATTATTTGAAGTAGTTGCTGTCACTTTGGTTTATCACTCCTACTTGTTTTCTCATACAGCAATTGTTCTCAAGTATGAATCTTTAAAAATGCAACCATTGACAAAGACTTCTCAGCCAGGGTATCTTCAGCACTTGCCTTTGTATCAATTTTATTATCATTCCCTTTAGAATCACAGCATTTCAGGGGCTGATTCAACTTTGGAAGGCAATGGTTTGGACATAGACTTTGAATTGAGGCATGGAATGGGTCTTGAGTACTAATATGCTTAAATCCCACTGATTTCAGTGACCCCACACTCAGTATGAACAACCATCTGGATCCAACTCCATTCTCATCAGATTATTATAGATTTGCTGATAGTCAATTTTTCAATGTTCTTCAAGGACAGCAAAAGATAGGTATACATAAAATTATACTATACACAAAAGAACAACATTCATTCTCCAAATATTGTTAAATTACAACTTTCATAACCCAATCAGCATGATTAAATATGCCATCTCTGATATTGATGAAGAATTTAATGCATGTGTGAAACAGTGCTTTGTCTCATTAAGAAACTTCATCTATTGCAATCATTTGAGCTAAGATGGAAAATTTAAGAGGAAACATAAGAAAGCCAGTTATATTTGTAAAAAATCCACATGATTCTTAATTAACAAGATGAAAATTAACTATTTGAAGAGGATACCACAAGAAAACATTGTCCACATCTTTGCTTCAGGTTTCCCTGCAGAGTCTGAAAATGGTTGAATGTTCAGTATATGTTACTCTTTGTTTTTGAAAATGATTACAAAATAGATAAAAAGAAAAAATTAGGCATAATAAATCCTTTTATTTCACACATCCTAATATTTCATTTTTCAGTGTTCACAAACATGTGATCTAGTTTTATTACAATGTCTCAACAAGTTTTATTTTGTTCTGGGCAAATATTCTCTGATATAATGTCCTTTTCATTGCACCTTTCACTTCCTTGTTTCTCAAACTGTAGATAATAGGGTTTAACATGGGTGTGATGACTGTGTAGGAGAGGGAAAGGAATTTTTTTGTGTCTGGAGAGTACTGGGACTTAGGGTTGAAGTAGGTAGATGTGGCTGTGCCATAAAATAAAGTAACCACCAGAAGATGAGATGAACATGTTGAAAAGGCTTTATGCCTCCCCTCTGCCGAGGGCATTCTCAAGATAGTAATGATGATGCATATATACGTGAATAAAATAATGAGGAAAGGAAACACAATGAATATCACAGTAGCTGTGAGAGCTTCAATTTGAACCATGTAGGTATCAGCACAAGCCAGTTCTAGCACTGGGGGACTATCACAAAAGAAATGATTAACTATATTAGGCCCACAATATGGCACACTAAAAACAAATATGGCAGAGACAGTAGAGTTAGGGACACCTAAAAGCCATGATGCAACAGCTAGTTGGAAACATACTTTTCTGTTCATAATTTCTGGATAACGTAGTGGATTGCAAATGGCAACAT